TAGAGACCCACACCCATTATTATGCAGAGAGCAAGAGACCTTGGAACACCCAGGCCTAAATGGATTGTCTCCATCAAATTTCTCTCCTCAGAGCTGAGGGAATCCCATGGAAGGGGATGTGGGAAGAGTGTAAGGTCCAGAGAGTTTGGAGGGCACCAGGCAAACAAGGCCCTCTAAATCAACACGAGCAAAGCTCATAGAGACTGAAGTAGAATACACAAGGCCTGCATCGGTCCTGTGCACTTATATTATGGCTTCCAGATTAGTATTTTTTAGGGGATTCTTGAGTATGCAAACAAGTGGGACTCTTCTCTTATTCTTGTGCCTTCTCTTGGGCTCTTTTCTGCCTTGTGGTTTGTCTTGTCCAACTTCGATATGCTTTCTGTTTTATCTTATTACATTTTATTTTGTTATATTTTTAAAAATGAATTAATGAGTAAAAACCTAGTCACTAGGATAAAGGTTAACAACTGAACTGCCATTTATATCTGCTTGGAGAGGAAAAATCTGTTTTCTCCAATGGTGTGACAGTGAGTCTATCAATGACTTCAGGGTATACCTCATGTTTAGGAGTAGTTGACTAACATATAATGAACTCTACAGTTTTTTGTATTCTTTTATTTGGTTGCAATTTAGTGGTTTTTTAAAAATTTTGTTTCTTTTGGGGGTGGTGTTTTCTTTATGTGGGGGAGGTTTTGTTGTATTGTTTCTATGCTTTTGTGTTTCTTTTCTTCTTGTTTCTCTTTCTTTTTTTGTTTTTGTTTTTTGAGAACAAACGTAAAGTTTTGTGTGGCTAGGGATGGAGACAGTATCTGAAAGGACTGGTGGTAAGGGAACAATATGATCAAAACCTATTTAAATTTGAAAGTTGTTTTAAAAAATAAAAATACATAAAAATGAAATTTAGCTGGAAAAGTTCAACAGTTAATACAAAATTGCTGAGAAGGCTGAGTGTGATGATCCATGCCTGTCATCCCAACACACTGAAGGTAGAGGCAGGAGTTAGAGGCAGGCCTGGGATAGTCTATTTTGAAAAACAAAACAAACAACAACAGAAGTCCAGAATTTAGCTGGAAAAAAGTTGAGTTTGAGAACGAGCCCAGTAAATCAGTGGGCATATTGGACCTCTAGCTCAGGAAGCAATCTCTAGAGGTTTTCTTAGCAGCATTTACAATAGAAGAAAGAATTCATGCAAGTACATGAAGGCTGAAAAGCAAAGTCATCCACACACTTGACAACATCCATCTTCAACAGTAGTCAGTTCATCTTTAATGAACTGGTACACATTTCTAGAGAAACTTTTAGAAGAATACAGTGTGTAAGGTAGAATGAAGAATTACTCATATTTTATTTCAGACTGGACCTTGTTGTGGATCTTAAAAAGGCAGGGAAATGGAGCCCACACTATGACCTCAAAGTGTCCCTTTTCTTCTCTGGGGGTAAGGGAGGAGTGGGGCTTAGGGTGGGGGTGGAGCATTCAAGTGTCAGAAGTTACTAAGGTGTCTGCTAATGGCTGAGGAGGTTGAGGGCAAAGGGTTTTCCATGGACACTTTTAAATAAGAACTAGAATTTTATTTTTTTTTAAAAAAAAAGGGGTACATAGAGGAGTCATCTATCTTTCACCAAAGAAACAGGAGAAATTTAAGTACTACAAGATAATAGACATCATAGTGGCAATACTTTTTAAAAGCCTAGTTCGACAAAGGCTCCAATAAGGATGGCAAACACATTAACATTGTTAACAGAACACAACTTCTTTGTACATTTTAAGCACTGGGGAATTTGCATGAAAAAAAATCTTTTTATATACTCAATGATGCTTCTATATAACTTTAAAACTCCATTGAGCAATACTACCAAAAGAGTGAAGATATATAAGGCTACATTAAAAAGATATAATCCAAAAGCAGGTTGACCCAACCTGCAGACTTTATCCTGAGAGAAGCAATATTTATATTGGAAAGAGTGAGGTACTGGTGTTTCTACAGACACAGGGCTTGAGTTCCCATGCACTTAGTTTCCTTCTACAAGCTCAAGGTCTCCCAGCAACCACTGATAACAGGTCAAGGTCACATAATAGAAGTAAAGGACAATATCTGTGAAAACGGAGTTTCAATCACCGCTGAAGAGCCTGGGTAATAACTTCTCACAGTGTATAACTTTATTCAGATTGCCTTTGACCTGACTGAAACCAATGGAGGAGCTCAGCTGCCAAGTGCACAGCGACTTCGGTCCCAGCAATCTGATCTGATGGGGCAGGAGAAACACCCATGGACCTCTAGTGCTCATCTGGATCGCTCATCTCTAAAGACCAGGTATACACATACACATACTATTTACAATAGGCATGATGATATATGTCTAATATATAATCCTCAGCAGCTATACTACTATAAATTTCTGTCTACGTGTCACTGAGTATTAACTGCCATTGGAAAGTGAATCTACGGGTGCTTCTTAAGGCTCGGGTAGTAGTATTTGAGGCAGAAATGTCAAATAAAGATAATTTCAATTTCCAAGCCAACCACACACTTGTGCAGTCTCCTAAATTTTCTAGACGATTCCTGTTGACTACTAGCAGAATGGAAACAGCCCTCCCATACCACCCAAAACTATGGAGAGGAAAAGAAAAGAAAACCAGATAAAATAGTTGAACATTTACTGTTATGTTAAATGTGCTGGGATAATGATGAAAATGTCATAGACTGTGTTCTTCCCTACGTAAGCACGGCTGATATTCCTCACACTGTCACCCTGGGAAGTGCTGGTTCCTGCTTCCCAGCTTTGTCAGGAAAAACAAAAGAAGATAGATATCAGTGAGGAAGAGCTACGACAATTCTGTAATGGGTAGCAGAGGAGAGTGATAAAGAACCCATTTACAGCACATTTAGACAAACAGATTTAGAGAAAATGATTATAAAGGATAACGAAGTAATTGGGAGGGAATAGAAGATTTTTTTCTTCTTACTAATATGCACAAAGATACTAGAATAAGTGTGTAGATTCATTATTTTAATTACTTTTCATTATATTGTAATAAATGCAAGGGAAAGTGAGACCATGGAATAAATGGGAAAATCCTAAAATAGAAATGAATACTTAGGGCTGAAAGATGATTCAGTAGGTAAACGTCTTTGTTACTAATGACCTAAACTTGTGCCCCAGGTCGTACATGGTGGAAGGGAAGAAGTGACATTCATAGGTTGTCCTCTATCTCTGCACACTCTTGCTGTGGCTGTGTGTGCATGTGAGCACAGACACACACAGACACATACACAGACACACACACACACACACACACACACACATTAAGATTGCATATGATAAGGCCAGAATATTGGCCTTGCCAAAGGCATCAGATCAGTATAATAAATAATAAATTAATAATAATAAATTAATTATTTTTAGTTAAATGTAATCTTAACTGTAAAATAAAAGTCTCAGAGCCACGATGCTTCCATGGCCATTCAACATCTAACCTAACAGGTATTTTTTTTTTTGAAAAAGAAAAAAACTTTCTTTTTTCATTATACATACCAATCCAAGTTTCCACTTCCTCCCCTCCTCCCATTCCCTCCACACACCCTCCCACCCCACCCCCATCCAATCCTCAGAGGGTAAAGCGCATTGCTTTGGGGAAGGTCCAAGACCCTCCCTACTTATCTAAGCTGAGCAAGGTATCCATCCAAAGAGAATAGGTTCCAAAAAAGCCAGTACAAGCAGTAGGAATAAATCCTGGCATCACTGCCAGTGGCCCCTCAGTCTGCCCCAGCCATGCAACTGTCAACCACATTTAGAGGGACTAGTTTGGTTCTATGCTTGTTTCTTCCCAGTCCGACTGGTATCAGTGAGCTACTGTTAGCTCAGCCATTCATTCAGGCCTACTCAAGGCTCAAGGCTGGTGACAGACTCTGTCTCAAAAACAACATCACCACCAACAAAACACAGACAAACAAACAAAAACAAACAAAAAAACCCCAAAAGACAAAACAAACAAACAAACCATTTCCTTTTTAACAAGAGAAAAATGTTTTTGGAATTAGAAAGCCCTACCAGTCTCAGCAGCCACATTGTCTCAAGCAAACTCGGTACATTATGAATTTCTGGCATTTTATTTTTTAATGTGTAAGTTTATTGTGAGGAATGAATGTAAAACACTTGTGAACAAACAACAGCATGGCGTGTATGAATCTTTTCCATTTCTCTCACAAAGCCATTCCCACCATCCACTAAGTCAGGGACAGGACGTACAGGTCACTCACTTGTTTTCCAGTCTTCACTGTCTTGGGTGTTCACAGGATTATTAATGAGAAGGGACTCTATGAGACACATTAACTGCTGATACTGAGTCTTCAGTGGGTGTTCAGCTTTTCTTTCATCTGTGGTCATTTCCACGAGAAACATTCCTTTAAACCAGGACCAGTATTATCTCCCTAGAATGCTATGGGGAAGCATCTGCACGGGTGCTTAGTCCCTGTGGGGTGGGCTATGCATGGGTGCTGAGTCCCTGTGGGGAGAACTACGCATGGGTGCTGAGACCCTGTGGGGAGGCCTATGCATGGGTGCTGAGTCCCTGTGGGGAGGACTGTGCATGGGCACTGAGACCCTGTGGGAAGGACTTGCATGGGTGTTGAGTCCCTATGGGGAGAACTATGTATGGGTGCTGAGATCCTGTGCGGAGGGCTGTGTATGAGTGCTGATCAGTCTGCTGCCTGAGGAGTACGTGGAGAGGAAAGATTACATATCCATGTCAGTGACAGGATACAGGAACCACAGTTGTCTTCCAAAGATCCTCTCATCTGTGTCGTTGAGAACCTACTAGCACAGGGTAGATGCACACACACGCACACACACACACACACACACACACACACACACACACACACACACACACACACGAGTGTAATTTTTCTATCATCGGGCCTCTGTTGGTAGCGGACAGTTTACAACTGCAGGGCGAGGGAACAAGAAGGGCCATTAGTAGAGGGAAGCACACCTACCTGGATGAGATAGTGGGAACACAAGTTGAGAAGCTCCAACAGCTGTAGGTGACTCCCAGCTGCCAACACATCCTGGATCACGCCTGGCTCCAACAAAATCTGTAAGGTAATTAATTATGAATCAACAGAAGAATTATTTGATTTTTACACGAGCCAACAGCTTTTCCTACATCCAAAACTCAGTTTAATTCCTTCATTTCTGTAATGAAGAAATGTAAGAAAATATGAACAAAGATATGAACAAAGAAAATATGTTTCAAAGAACACAGTAGTCTCATAACATTCATTTTGTAACATGGTAATGTCAAATGAACCAGTTCTAATTTTTCAAAGTATATTTCAGACTCTTCAGTTCATCATGGTTTAGTGAGCGGTGTTTTAGGGCAGGGTACTTGCATCTCCTCTGGCTGCAGTGAGTGGCTGAGTACCATGGGAGTGGGCGGGTACCGTGGGAGTGGGCGGGTACTGTGATAGTGGGCGGTACCTTGAGCATGGGTGGGTACCGTGAGCCTCGGTGGGTATCGTGGGAGTGGGTGGGTACCGTGGGAATGGGTGGGTACCATGAGAACGACGGGCACTGTGGGAGTGGGTAGGTACCGTGAGAGTAGGGTGGGTACTATATATGTATTATTCTACTTACAAGTCCTGCATAATCACAAACTTTCATAGTCTTCATTTTTGTTTCTCTAGTCTTCCTTATTTAAAATGCAAGTATCATTTTCATGAGTTAGCGAGCCTTACAAGGAAAGAGAATAACCCAGATATCTGGAGAAGACCAATTATTGACTTCTTCCTGATTAAGCCCAACTATTGGATTGCTACTACCAGTCACTGAAAAAGGTCAGATAAAGACACACCGTGGTAAGGACATTCACTCCAGTGTGTGACTGAGAGCTACAAGAGTCGTTTAGTGCTGTCCCAGGCACATCTGAGCCCAGATGTTCACAATCTAGCCCCCGAACATCAATGTTTCCAAGCCCATCGGTAGTTAGCACGTCTACATGCGAGCAGCGAGCAAAGGTGAGTACACGCCTTCTCCAAGTGAGGCCATCCATCTCTTGTCTCTGGGTCAATATTCCTTCTTGATTTTTCTTTGCTTCAAACACCATTCTCATCCCCAGTCTCTGTACTTTGGAAATGATCACAGCTTGCTCCGAAGAGCTTTCTCTCTTGTCTCTGCACACCCTGGAATTCTGTGACTTTCAGGGCATTTATATGCTGACGGAACTCCAAAATGTTTCTGTCTCCATACGCCAGACTGGCATCTACAACTCTGGGAAATGGATGAAGCCCTGAGTGAATGTGTATTGTTGACAGGGGTAGAACCATGCCAAAAACACCAATGTCTCAGACCCTCGGGAGGGGCAAAGCCTTCCTGTGGTCCAAGGAGAACTGTTAAAGAACAATTGACCAGTATGTGTCAAAACTATTAGCCACATTTTCCTCCTCTGGGATGACGCCTGAACCCACAGTGATGTCTACTAGGTATAGGTTAACCCTGTCTCCTTGTTCCACTGTATAAAAGAAACCTGCTTCCTGGATTCATCTTATCAACCAAATCAGTCCTCTCTACCTGAATCATCCTTTCTCAAGAGATCACCTTGGTTCTTCCCATCCACCTTTTAGTCTTGTGCCCAAACTGAGATTCTGGCCTACTGCCAAAGCTGGTACCTTCCATCAGAGTGAACACAACCTACTGTACCCCATCTTTTCTTCACATGTGTCTGTGTGTCTGACTTTTCTTCATTCCCTCAATCCCTTAAGCTGGGTAGAATCTGGTATCCAACTACCACCTCAGCATGGATTTTTGGCTGTTCAGAGCTCCTGAGCATGCCACAGACTGGACTCTTAGTTTTTATCTCACCACCCTACCCCTTTTATAATTCTGCCATCTCAGCAATATGACAGTTATTTAGAAGAACCCCAGAGTCATTCATCTTCTTTTGAAAAATAAAATAATTCTTTGATAACTTGATGCACATATATAATGTGTCCAGGTCATATTCACCACCTAATCTTTTCTGCTGCCACTTCCCCACCAAACTCCCCTCCCATTCTCCATACAAGTCCCCTTCCCCCATCAAGTCATTTTCTTTAGCTCTTTTTGTTGTTTGCTTTGTGAACCATGGAGTTGAACCTGAGCAGCCTGCACGGGTGTGTGTACATGCACGCATGTTGAGCTATTAACCGAAGCACATGAAACTCACCAGATGCTAGACTGTTGAAGACTTGGATTCCCCTCCCCAGAAGCTATTAACTGCATGCAATAGCTTCTGGGGAGGACCCGGGACCTAAGAGTACCTCTTCCATCCCTGAACTGAATATTGACATTAGTCCAGTTTTTGCTGTTGTTGTTTGTTTGTTTTGTTTTGTGTGTGTGTGTGTGTGTGTGTGCCCTGTGCAGGTAACGTCAGGTGAGTTCATGGGGGTGGCATCCAGCTCTTACATTCTTTCTGCCCCTTTCCATGATATTTTTGAACATGGAAGGGATGACATGGATCTTCTATGAGAGCTGAGCACTCATCTTCACGTACATTCTTATCACCTTGGCCGTCATGAGTCTCTGCACTAACTGTGTTCCCTTTGAAGAGAAGCTGCTCTGACCTCGCTGGAGGGCAGCACAACTCAGAACCATCCTGTGATCCTCTTATTTTTCTCCTACCTCACAGGCCACCTATGAGCCTTCCTGTTGGCTCTATGATCGGAACAGCTCCAGAGGTTAAACATTCATGCCTCGCTATTTCCATTACTCTCAGCCTAACCCAATGTACTCCATTTTCTCAAACTTAACTCCTGCCTCCTGACTTCTGACACTGCCTTCTCCTTTGCCTCTTTAAAATATTATCAACCCATCTCTCTGCCTGTATCACTCCTTCCATTCTGTCCTTGAGACTTCTGCTCATTACATTTGTAGTGCAAATTTAATTGGCAAAGTGTTAGGTATTCTTTGAGCCCACTGAGAAGCTGTCTTTGAAAGTGGGGTTATCCCAATGCCATTTCAGATCTAAGCAAGTTTGTTTCAAAGTGTCTTCGAAAGTTCTTTGTCTAGGGATGGCGGCCTCACTTTTCAACTCTGTGATAGGGAAGGAATATAACATAAAATTTCAACAGTAAGACCATTGTGAAAACAGGTGGGAGGTGAAGAATTTCCAATAAATATGACTACTGCTTATCCTGTGATATAAGCATGCCTAATGTGGGAAAAAGATGCTGGAAGTCTGGCCAACCATGGGAAGTTGCTATATAAGGTGAAAGTTCAATGTTGGTACTCCAGCTGCCTGCCTCAACCCCCTGTTGGTTTCTGGTGGATGCTCTGAGCATCCAATTAGATGATGTTATCTCTACTTATGGTTATTTGTTTCTTTCACTTTGAACACTTACCTAAGGGAACGCTCTGCTCTGCCAAGGACTCTCTTGATGGGGAACTCCAGTTGGCTACTTTAAATGGGCTTTCTCAGACTACTTTTGTTGGAAGCTGGAATGCCTAATTTCATGATTCATATTCTCTCTCTCTCTCTCTCTCTCTCTCTCTCTCTCTCTCTTCTCTTCCTCCTGTCTCTCTCTTCCCCTTCCTCTGACTCGTTTTTCTTATGTCCTCTCTCTCAATCTATTACTTGCTACCTATTCTTTCACTTGGGCTTGTTATACACTTAACAAATTCACACATCCCCAGTGGAAGTATAGCTACCCCTCATTCTTTGCCTTTCTCTTATCCTCTTATGAGAAACAGTACATCACTCCAAAATACCTCTTATTTCCAACCTGTGCTTTATTCTCCATAGCACTTACAGTCTTTTGATACATTGCACACTGATTTGGTTGTTTTCTGTTTCTTTGCACATAAAGACACAAGCTCCAGAAGGGAAGAAATTTGTCCTGTTCTTCGTCCACACCACATAAGAACAACACCTAGGCACATGGCTATCGCTCTGTACTGAGATGGTTATTTAATTAAAAATTTGGATAGCTAACTCCTACACAATGCTTGCTTCAAAATTTATTTTAGTGATTAATCTGACACAGGAAAAGTGGAAAAAGAGTTGTAGCTTATATTTCTGTGCCACTGAAGTAAAGATGCGCAAAAGTAAGACACGGGGGTCAAAAGTGCAAAGACTCTTCTTGCTCTGGAGATTTTATAAACAGCTCTTTTTTTTCCCTTCTGGTCATAAGAGATATTTAAATTTCTGTACATCCTCAAGGAAGGGACTGTGACTGACGTGCGGAAATGAGTACATGTCCCATCAGAGGCGCAAGAATGGCAAACAGACTGCCTGAAGAGGCACAGCCTAAGGCAGAGAGCAGGGACTAGGTGGATTAGAACGGTTAGTTTTAGCCTGCCAGCCCTATCAGTGGCAGTCACGTCACACAACCGGCATTCACAATCACCTCCAAGGGGTGGTAACGCCAAACACAAAGACAGATATCACAGAGAGACAAGATGGATATTCCGTAGCATGTGTAACACGTCCAGTGGCTTGGCTGTGAGAAACCCTCCCACCAGAAACCCATACCGGGATTGTTTGATTGTTTCGCCTTTGTTTTATTTTTTTTTTATTCTGCAGGCTTGTTTCCTCCTCTCAGTATGAGATTTTCTAAAAGAAACCTTAGCATAAGAAAATCCCTAAGTCCTTTGAAAGGACTGCAGAGAGAAACTGCCAGGACAGCTGTTTATCGTTTTTAGAAACAATCAGCACGTATTGGAGTCACTGGTCGGAGTCTTTCAGTTGATGCCCCGCTGCCATCTGGGGACTGGTTGCTCTGCTGCGTTTTTCCCAAGAATCTGTGCTTGGTTGGGAGTAAGCTGAGGCTTTACTCCTTGCGCTTTACAGTATATAGTGATGGAAAAATTGGCCAATAAGACTCTTTAAAACTAAGGGCCCTAAAACACTCATGTCTATAGCGGACGACCTTCTCATTTGTTTCCCCTGTGCTGTGATCAAACATTGACCAAAGCCATCCCTCTTGACTCTGGCATTCTAATAAACTGGATGGGGTTTGCGCTCAAGCTACAGCAAGGGAGAGAAGTCCCCTGAGAGCTGAGAGCACCCTGTTAGAGCAGGAGCTAATCTCTCTGGACACATCTGTAGCATCCGTCAGTC